GTGCTGAAGAAAGTACAGCCGGAACAGGTATAAAATACTCGTGTACTGGCACCTGATCATTTCCCATGTATTTTTTGCATTTGCCTAAAAAATTACCTAAGGAATAAATGCTCTAACCCAACAATCACATGCACGGGATCTGAAGGAATTAAACAGAGGGAAGGGGGTCGAAACAATGGTCATTTTTCGAATACAGCTGTAAGAGAAGAATTGTCATAAAAACGAAAATTTCAGAAAACTTGAAATTTTTTAATGAAAATTAGAAAACAACACAAAACATTTCTTTATTGAATGCAAGCAGAAGGGGCCAATTTTGGCTAAAAAAGTGGTCAGTGGCTATTCTGATCTTTGCTATTACTGGTTCAGCAAAAACTCTAATTCCCATTGTGTGGTAGTGGCAATAAATGGTAATAGTAATAAAAATAATAATAAGCAAGATAATAATAACAATAATAAAAAATAATAACAAACTGAACGATAAGTGCAATCATCATTGCAATTGTAATGCTTAAAATTAGGAGAAAAGCTGATGCTCAAAAGTAAACCCTCACTTATCAACTCAGCAGATTGTTTTTTCATCATAGCGCATCTTCGCATCACTGAAATCATATTTGTACTGAATTTCCATCTAAAAATAAGTTTGCTTTGTTGCAGTATAAAAAATATAGAAAAGTGCCGGTTGAGCAGCTGGCAGCAGAAGCCGTAATGCAGCAGGCCGAAATGACGCGATTGCAGCCCAAAACGGGTAATAAGCTGATTGATATGCTACACGAGAACGGTATCCCGATCGGCAACAGTCTGAAGGGTCTCGAGCAGGCTATCAAGACACAGCGTGAAATCGAGAACACCGATCCAGCTCAGCAGGCTCGCAGCTTAACCAGTTATCAATGCGCTGAGGGTTTCTGTGCTTCCGTTACGCTTAATTAGCATTCCCCAATAAATCGAAAAAAAAACCATTTACGTGTCTGAAATGTAAATCCGGGCCCCAAGATGTGCGGATCCCTCAAGGCGGTGTCTTTTTATGCATCCATCCTGAAATTTTAACCTTGACTTTCGGGCGAATTTGGGCTACCGTAATTTTGAACTGTTAAATTTGAACTGATCCCTTAAAAACCGGTCATTTCACCGCAACGCACCTCGCATGCTTTTCGATTTTTTTCATAAAAACCGAACTTTTCCGCTTCGAGTTCTAGCCACAAATTTTGAACTGTATAAGACCTTGCTTGCTTGGCTCCGCTGTAATGTATAATTTGATTCTCCAGTTGTGTGGCTGACTTATCCAGTTTCTTTGACCACATAATAGTTATTCCGTTGCCAAACATGACATTTGCTCTGTTTCCTAAAAAAATTTACCATCTCAGCGATCCGCTTGACAAAAGCGCTTAGCAAGACTTTAGCCGTTTCGAAACATCGTTTCCTACTACTGCCGCACACGGAGAGCACTCTTATCGGCTAGGATTGTCACATAAACTCGCTGGTTTCAGATCGCAAAAGCTATCATGGAGAAAGTGCAAAAGCAAATCTTACCTGGACTAGTGGCTAATATAATCGCTGGAAGAAACCCGTTACAGTTGGGAGCAGCGCGGGAAGAACTGCGTGCCCTGGCCGACTCACGTGACGAAGCACGAGCCATGCGTATGCAGCACGAGGAGGCCCTGAAGGCGCTCCAGCAAGAGGAACTCAAGCAGGTCACTTGGTTTAGAGTTTCGACCTTTATCAGGCACATCCATCACATTCATCCCAGTAAAATTACTGACATGGTTACCCATATTGATAGC